TTATTTCATAATAAATAATTACTATAATTTTATATCCTGTTACATATTAATACGTATTAAAGATGATGGACAAGAAAAACCATGAAGTGCAGGAAAAGTTTAAAGATAAATAAAAGGTAAATGTACAGCAGTCTAAAAAGTAATAGCAGAACAGAACAAGTACTGGTTCGTGGAAAAAAGTATAGAATGAAATGGTGGAAGTAGCACGGCACATGTTCAGCTCCCTTTCCTGAGCTGGTCACCACATGGGATGGTTCCAGAATAGCATCATTATGCAATTTAACAAATATGGTGTCTCCTTTTTAAAAAAAAATTATGGATAAGAAGACAGGGCAAATGCATGGTGAACATGGTAGTCCTAAAGAAAGCAAACGAGGGAACAATATTAATGGCATGAAAGAGTGCACTGCCTTTCAAGGTATAGGAGAAATTGCTTTCAGACAGAAAAAAAAACTGAACCAGACTAATGCGATAAGCAGGTTATGCTACTTTGTGGCTCTACTTTGTGTGGATTTTATATATTTAATATAGTTTAGCAATTTGGCTATACTGTGGCTGTGTTTAGCTGTGGATTAACATCTTAGCGTTAGGGCAGGGGTCCTCAAACTAAGGCCCGAGGGCCAGATACGGCCCTCCAAGGTCATTTACCCTGCCCTTGTTCAGGGTCAACCTAAGTCTGAACCGACTTGAAAGCACACAACAACAACAACAACAACAACAACAATCCTATCTCATCAGCCAGAAGCAGGCCCACACTTCCCACTGAAATGCTAGTAAGTTTATATTTGTTAAAATTGTTCTTCATTTTAATTACTGTATTGTTTTAAAGTGTTTTTTTGCACCACAAATAAGATATGTGCAGTGTGCATAGGAATTCATTTTTTAAAATTATAATCCGGCCCTCCAACAGTTTGAGGGACTGTGACCTGGCCCTCTGTTTCAAAAGTTTGAAGACCCCTGCGTTAGGGCATGTGTCAAACCCAAGCCCCCCCCCCCCCCCCCCAAGATGCTGGACCAAAATTCCTGTATTCCTCATCATTAGACATCATGACCAGAGCTGATGGGAGTTGGGATACAGTAACATCTGGATCTTTGTTCTGTTTAGTCAGTACAGTGGGGTTTGAGTTTAGATAGAAGGCTTGTGGATAGAATATCTTACTTTAAAATATCATTTCACCTTTCTTCAACTTTAGACCCCCAAGTGCTGTTGGGTTGCAATACCCGTTATCCCTAATCTGCATGGGGAATAGTCAAGAGTGGTGAGCATTGTATTCAATAACATCTGGGGACCCAAACAGAGTAAAAAAAATTAGAGTACTGACCACTGTGTAAAGAAATTATAGTTGGACCTCTGTATCCATGGATTCTGTGTCCATGGAGTCAATGGCCCTTAGAAGAGTTGAAGACAGCCATGAAGACAACCACGTCAGGCACTTGTCTCATCCTCAGGCAATTACACTTCACAGCAGACAGGACATACCGTTTTGGAAAAACAACACATTTCTGTTACCTGTTATACTGGTTTCTAGTAAGTGTTGGTTTCTGTTACTGAGGGCAACAAAACAATAATATATGTCCTGTGGCAGAAAATGTTGAAAAGTAGGAATATTCCATTTCCTGTTTATTCCGACTCGCTGTTGTACAGGTTGGGCAGCTCTTATCTGAAAGGCCATAATCCAAAATGGCCCTCCTGGCTGGCTGAGATAGTGACATTGTCGTTCTCCAATAGCCCAATGTACACACATGGTGTTTCATGCAAAAAAAAAAAATTAAATTAGGAATTGTGAGAGCTGGTCCAAAACACCTGGAAGGCTAAAGTTTGTCCATGCCTGTTTGCCCAGGCAAGGAATAGGAGCTCAGTATGCCCCGAAATTGATCATTACCACAGGCTCATTGGTTGCTGGTTTGATGCTTGCTCTTTGTTGTTGTTTTATTGTTTTATACTGTTCTTTATATATTTTGTGTTATATTTTAACTATATTGTCAGGCTCATCCCCATGTAAGCTGCCCTGAGTCCCTTCGGGGAGATGGAGGCGGGGTACAAAAATAAAATTATTATTATTATTTATTACTAGCCGTCCCCTGCCACACATTGCTTTGTCCCAGTCTGTGTATATGTGCTTTCTGTGTGTATATGTATATATATGTGTGTGTGTTTGCGTATATATGTGTGGTTTTGCGCATGCATCGTAATGTTGAATTTTTTTTACTTTTAATGTCCCTTCTGCTGTGTTTTTCGGTGTTTTTATGAGTGATGGTCACTTGTTGGCCTGATAGGTATATTGTGTCCAAATTTGGTGTCAGTTCATCCAGTGGTTTTTGAGTTATGTTCATCCCACAAACGGACATTACATTTCTATTTATATAGACTAGCCGTCCCCTGCCACACGTTGCTGTGGCCCAATCTGTGTATATGTGTTTTGTATGTTTATGTTATGTGTATATGTGTGTGTTGTACACATATGTGTTATTTGTATATATGTGTATATATTTGTGTTTATGTGTATATATGTGTGTTTGCGTATATATGTGTGTGTGGTTTTGTGCATGTTGTAATGTAGTTTTTGGTGTTTTGGCTTTTTAAGTCCCTTCCGCTGTGTTTTTCAGTGTTTTTAGGAGTGATGGTCACTTGTTGGCCTGATTTGGTGTCTTGTGTCCAAATTTGGTGTCAATTTGTCCAGTGGTTTTGGAGTTATGTTAATCCCACAAATGAACATTACATTTTTATTTATATACTAGCCATCCCCTGCCACATGTTGCTGTGGCCCAGTCTGTATCTATGAATTTTCTGTGTGTATATAGTGTTTATATGTGTGTATATATATGTGTATATGTGCATATGTGTATATGTGTGTTTGCATATGCGCGTGTGTGTGGGTGTATATATGTGTGTGCCTATGTGTATATAAGAGTATATATGTGTACTGTGTATATGTGTGTACTTGTCTATATGCATATTTGTGTGTACATATGTGTGTATGTATGTGTATATGTAGTGTGCATGTGTATATTTGTGTGTGTTAATGTGTATATGTATATATGTGTGTATGTATATATATGTGTGTGTGTGTATATTTGTGCGTGCTTGTGTATATATGTGTGTGTGTGTGTATGTGTATATGTATATGACTGTATGTGTATATGTATATATGGTGTATTTTGGGGGTTTTTGAGTCCGTTCTGCTGGTTTGTGTGTGTGTGTGTGTTTTAGAAGTGATGAACACTCATTGGGTTGTTAGGTATATGCCGTCCAAATTTGGTGTCAATTCGTCCAGTGGTTTATGAGTTATGTTAATCCCACAAACGAACATTACATTTTTATTTATAGACTAGCTGTTCCCTGCCATGTGTTGCTGTGGCCCAGTCTGTGTATATGTTTTGTGTGTGTGTGTGTACAGTGTGTATATATTTGTGTATACATGTATGTGTATATGTGTGTATATATATGGGTGTAAATATGTGTGT